TATCAGCATCCTACATTCAAAGATTTTTCTGATTAAAAAAAAAAAAGAAAAGAAATAAAAAGAAAACGAAACAGTTTCTCATTGCTAGAATATCCTCTAGTATTGCCCTGCCAACTAACAGAGAGCAGTGCAAAGCTCTGAAGTTCACATTTTCTCTCCTAACACAAATTCTGAAGTCTGAATGAGAAATGACACGCTACTACACTGGCTCTACCTCTTGTTCATTTCTTTTTTCTTGTTGCTTTCCAAAGATAATCTTCATGAAAGGTGACAGGCATATATATATCTTTTCCAAGATGCCTAAGATTCTGTGGAACTTCCTCAGGTTCTGAAACCAAGGTGCGGCTCTGGTGAGCCCTCGGTTGTCCCTCGGTTCTGCAAAGCCATGCAACCAACCAGTGGTGCAAGGTCATTCCTGAGCTCCCACTAACAGGCTTAGTCATTTTTATTTGGGATCCCTTCATCTCAGCTGGCATTAGAGACAGGATAAGAACTTGTGCAGACATCGACCTGGGCTGCAAGTTCACACACTCACATAAGTTTTCCTTAAATACTGAGGAACATCCTGTATAAATATCTTTTAGACTCAGCAATTCAAGGTAATTAATATAGAAAATAACTCTGCAGAAGATAAGGGAACAGTCACCACATATTGTGCAGTGCAGAAGAAATACTTCCATTCTTTTTTCAAATTAGCTTGTGAAGATCCTGGTTCCAATGAGAGACTGCCATCTTGCTCAAGGGAATTTCAAATTAGCAATGTCAGTTAACCTCTAAGAGCTCTTTCTCCTGGGAATAAACAATCGTTTTGTTTATCTCCAACCAACAGCTAATAGCACAATAATGATCCAATCCCCAGATCCCTTTGCCTGGAAACAGATACCTTAATCTCTGCAGTTAAAGTCTTATCAGTCTCTGCTCCCATGCAGTTTGAACATTTCCCTTATATCCACAGTGCTCCCTACAATGAAAAGCTGTCTCAGATTCTGCTATCTTTACCATGAATTACCTTTCCCTGACCCCATGCACTCCTTTTTCACAAACATCTCTTTGAAGTATTTACTAGATACGTCACATTTTCATCTGGGCCACAGATGGCTGTTACTGAAAACTAGTGTTATTGTCTTAATTTGTTTAATTTCCTTCATTGCTCATTATCTCACAAAACCGGCGTTACATTTGATCCAGTGGTCAGGAAAATTAAGTTCCGCTGTTACTCTATGTTTACCACCCAATTGCAATCAACAGAGATGCATAAAGCAAGCATGAAATGGACATTTCTTTTGCATCTCAAACTGCACTGAACTTCTCTCTGAGCTGTCAGTTGATTAGGAAAGAGAAAATTAATACCCTCAAGTGTGATCTCCTGGATCCCTAGAGGATACTTACATAGGCTGGTTTACCAATAGGGATCAATTTATTAGTTTAAAGACCAATACATTAGTTTAACAGAAAGGAATCAATGTGCACTAGTTGTAAAATTTTCCAGTTTAGCTTTGCTTGCTATGTGAGTCTTGTTTTTCTGAATGAGCTTTGCTTCAGCGAAGCACTGAAGACAACAGACTTTTATCTTTGCATCCACCAAGTGCAAGAATTTGTTCTTGAGTTTCATGTAAACAGTTTTGAGTTATAGTGCATCAAGATAGAAAGTTGCTCATTATGGTATAACAAGCAGAGGAAATTTGCCAAATGGGGAAAACAGCTAAAAGGTTGGCAGTACAAGCAAGTCCCAGGACAAATTTCTTTAGATTACTTGTCCAGCCATGCTGGTAGGGACCAGGTGATCATTTGTACAACTGAATTAAAACTAAGATTTCTTTTTGAGGCTCACCCACCTACGTTGCACCAGAGCTTCAAAATCATTTTCAAAGTCATTCTGAAATCACAGAACAGTGAAAGCTCACAACACAAGCAAAGTCACTAAATGCACTTATCAGCAAATATGCTCATTCTTTGCTCTACAGACACAGACCTAGCTACTACCTTAAGATGTTTTGTTTTTACCCTTCAATTCTCTTACACAGACAACCCATTTCCTATCAACGTTGTGCACACTCAGATATTACAGCCCTTATCTCACAACTTGATGCATAAGAAAGAAATAGAATAGGAATAAGCCTGATGAATATTTATCTTCTTCAGAATACAGAATCACAGAATCGTAGGGGTTGGAAGGACCTCTGGAGAACATCCAGTCCAATCCTCTGCTAAAGCACATTTTCTACAGGAGGCTGCAGATGAAAGTGTTCAGGTGGGTTTTGGATATCTCCAGAGAAGGAGACTCCACAACCTCTCTGAGCAGCCCATTCCAGTGCTGTCACCTTCACAGTAAAGTTCACATGGAACTTCCTGTGTTTCAATTTGTGCTCCTTGTCCTGTCGCAACACTTACCCTTTAGATATTCCTAAAGTGTTGATAAAATCCTCACTCAGACTTCTCCTCACCAGTTTAACTGTTTCATATGCACAGTATTACTTTGACTCTCTAATCAGAGGGATCTTAGCAGCTAAGGTAAGATAGGATTTGTATTTTACCTCTTCCAAATTACTGCACAATGTGAGCACAACACGTACCCATGGACTTTCAGAGCATCTCTGTAGCCATAGAAAATCTCACAGTATCTAACAAATAACAAAGAACTTTTTCCCTATTTCATTTTTTTTGGTAGTAGGCTTAGATTTTCCTTTAGAGATAACATACTGATTAGGAGATGTGGCCACATCTACCCTGCAATATGCCATCCCCATATTTATAACACATGCCTTGCTGTAGAAACTGAAGTTCTAATTTTGAGAAATAAAGCAGAATGAGCAGAGGCTGTAATGGACTCACAAAGGTTTGCAGAGGCCGTGAATGAGTCACACACCAGACACTGACATTCTCCAGGAATGCAGATAACTGCATGACAAAAGGTTGCAGTGCATTCCTCCTCGTTTTGCCTCAGAAGGAAATGAGCTCAGAAACTGGTGGAGAGCACAGCAACTGCCAGCCTAATGCAAAACTCTCAAAATGTTTCCTCAAAATATAGAAGAAGCCTCAGTATACTCGATCAGGTAAATGCCACTTCTAACTGCACAGTTACCAATCTTACATTAGTCAGAGAATCTTTAAGGCCAGGATTCTGGGACCAAAGATTTTCTCATGTTAGACAAAGAGGGAGATGCAGGAGGAGATAATGACTTTTTTTTTTGTTTATTTAGTACAATGGAAGAGTACATCCGCCAAGCTCTTAACATGACTGACTGCATATTGGCTTGCCTGAGGAGAAGCAGCTCTGTCACCCTAAACAGTTTAACACTGTTGAGTTCGGTATCTTTGATTTTCTTCTGCCTCGTGGAGAAAAAGAAGTCAAACTGTGCCTTTAGAAACCAGTTTTGTCTAAAATCTGGTTACTAACAAGCCTTTGGAAAAGACAAGAGAAACAGGAATCATTAGGGAACTTTTGCAATCCCCACTCTGTTTTTTTCCTTCATAGAATCGTTCAGGTTGGAAAAGACCTTAAAAATCATCAAGTCCAAACACGACCTAACCATACTACTCTAGCTAACAACCCTGTGCTAAACCATGTCCCTGAGCAGCACATCCAAACTGTTTTTAAACACATCCAGAGAAGGTGACTCAACCACCTCCCTGGGGAACCTATTCCAGTGCTTAACAACCCATTCAGTAAAGTAGTTCTTCCTGAAATCGAACCCAAACTTACCCCTGCACAATTTAAGGCCATTTCCCCTCATCCTGTCACCCGTGAGACCAACCCTGTTCTCACTGTAAGCACCTTTCAAATATTGGGAGAGAGCAATAAGGTCTCCCCTCAGCCTCCCTTTCCACAGACTAAACAGCCCCAGTTCCTTCAGTTGCTTATTTGAGCCCAAAGAAACCCGACTAGAAATCAGCTCTGAGGAAAACTGAATCTGACTGCTTTATTTCTACAGCCCAGGCTGGCAGAACTGCAAAGAATACAAAGCAACCCAGCTAATGGAAAACAAATCAGCCACTTAAAGTCCTTTCAGTTTTAGTAACTGTACGCGTTACTCATCAGTAACACGGGTGAGCACTTTATTTTTAATTGCTCTACATCCTCACAGAGATTTGGCAAACTCAGAGATGATCCAGGGCTTGTTCTGCATTTCTCTCTATCCACACCTCTTGCAACTGCTGTGTAATGTGGGGCTCAGTGCTGCCCCTCTGCTCCCTGTGAGGAGCTGTAGGCCACCATGAGGCATCCCCTCAGCACCCTCTCCCCTGGGCTGAATAAACCCAAAAAGAGAAAGGGGAAAAGCAGCCTCCAGTGGTACAGCACCAGCTCAGCCTGGATGCTGCTGGCAGCTAGGTGCTATCTTTGCTGCCTCTGCCCAACACTGCTCCACAGGCAGGCACTAAGCACTCACTCCCTGCTTTGTCATCTCCACAGTTGTCACTGGGAGCCAGCAGTTTAAGTAGGGCTCGAATCAGACAGCAGGTCAGTACAAAAGCCAAACAGCAGATTTCCTGCCCAGCCCCTTATCCACAGGCCTCTCCTCCCACAGACCTCATACAACCCTTATGCTGAAAAGATTTTGCTGAAATGCTTTGTGCCATCCAAATAAGCACAGCTTGACATGCATTTGGCAAGGGTGTGGGCAGGGAGAGACATGGGAGGGAAACAGGGTGGTGGAGGAAGAGGGAAAAAAAAAAAAGGCAACACTGTGAGAATTTGAGGGCATAAACATCGCAGAAGTGCCAGAGTCCACTGGACAGGGAATGAAGCACAATGTTAGCTGATGGGTCTCTGGGTGTGCTTATCCTACAGCAGCTCAGGGACACTGACTGGAACAATGTAGCTTTGATCACAAGGATGCCACTCAGGCAAAGAAATGAGGATACACCAGATGGACCCTATGCTGTTGCCCTACTACTAGGCAAGGCTTGGATGCAGTTTTAACACTGAGGAAGTTAGTGCAGGAGCATGGAAACAGAAGAGTTAAAAACCTTCACAACAAAGTATTGAATTCAAGCCTTACCTTAGACTAGCGCAGAGTTTGTTAGTAGGCCCAGCTGTGCACAGGCTCTCAATCATTCAGCAGAGCTCTCCAAAAGTCCATTGTGACTTAATTATAGAAAATGATGTGCCTGAGCCACAAGGATTCCACTTTGCCTTGATGCCTATGGATTCTATAACAGGCTGGGCAGCTCCAGTTCAGCTCCACCACACAGAAGCAAGGAGATAGGAAGCAGCTAGTAAGCCACTTTCACCACTGATAAACCTGAACCCCTGAACCTGGGAGGCGGGTTTTACTCTGAGCTTATTAGAGCTCACAGCTGCATTACAGGAACAACAGAAAGGCCTCCTGCTCTGCAGGCAGGAGCTGCCTTGTTCCACCTGTGGTGTCTATCTGCAGATTAAAGTCCACCTGAGATGATTTACCAGCAACATTTTGATACTTGTGCCTTAGGCATGCAGGAAACCATACCCCGTAGTTCTTGATCAAGGAGTGCACAGAACATCAGGTGGCAATTGAAGTGTCTGGGCTGTGTTCCTGCCCTGTTTTTGTGACAGCCCATCTGCTCTAACTGTATTAAGTAATTTAGTTGTAAATCTATGACTTCTGCAAGCTCCCAGCTCTGTATCTGCTGGATCAATGTCCTGTTGGAGAAGTATGTCAGTACCTAGCATTAAGGTTCAATTTGTAAACATGGTTTAAAGCTGGTTGAAAAATGGGGTTTTGAAGAAATTCCAAAATCTTTTTCCCATAACTTATCCCCCAACCTCAGACTTTAATGCAAGCACTGAACATTTTTCTTCCTGGAAATCTGGTCCCCTTTGCTATTTGCTCCAGCCTTCTTGTTTAAGTGTGACTTTCCTTATATTTCATATGGCACAGTATAGTCTCTAGGAGAAAGGAGGCAATAAAGTTGTACAGGAACAGATGTGATCTAGATAAGAGCACCAGCCTGAGGTAGCTATTTCCAACAGATGTTTTCCTCCATTGTCCTTTCTTTTTGGACAAGACAGCTTGTGATATATCCAGGTTTATTCTCTGGAGGAAGAAAAGCTATGCATTATGGGAGACACAAATAGATTACCAAATAACTGATAAATGTCATGCTAGAAGACAGCTAAAAGTTCAAAGCAGTTAAATTATTTGGGGCTATGGATATTTAGTTTTTCAAGAGTAGTTTTTTTTTTTTTTTTCAAATAGAAAAATGGAAATGTAAGCCTCATTTCTGTAAGAGAAGAGTTAAAGAAGATGAAGACAGGCAGTCCTATAGTTCCTTAGATGGCAAATTAAGAAATATCCAATTTCTGCGCAGATGAGTAAAAACTATTCTGTGAAAAGGCTTTATTAAAATGATAATGTCGGTGATACAGTGAGACTGTTGCCTACTTCAAAACAGAATCTGGCATGTGCACTGGATAAAAGGGATTATATGCTATAGCTATAAACGCAACATATACTGCAGATTTTTGCCAGCAACAGAAGAATGAACTAATACACTGAAATACAGTAATACAGGTCTGAAAGGAAACCAGCTTATGCTTCCTGATAGAGTAAGCAGAAAAGGTGTACTTTCTTCATAGATGGGAAAATGAACCATAATTAGTCACAGAGCATCTTCCATTTCTGCTCTAGGCATGGTGCCAGATCAGATTGGGCCTTCTCATGTGTTTGCTCACCCCTCTGCAATCCAGCCCCGGGCATCTGCCCAGTTGCAATATCTGGAGGTTCTATAAGCAAGGAATGCACTGAAGGCAGGTTTAAAGTAAATAGATTCAGAGCACAAAATTGTGAATCTTGCTAAATGTTAGCACAGAATTTTTTTAAATAACTGAAAGTCAGGCTTGAGCAAAGGGTTGTTTTTTTTTTTTTTCTTTCCCTAACAACCAAAAATTCAGTATTAAAATAACCAATCTATTAATTTATTTAACTCCCAATGACAATAATCCTTGTCATTGTTTCTTTGCTGGGGGACATTGTGAAATGTGAAGTGAAACCTCCATCCTTGAAGGTATTCAAGGCCAGGTTGGGTGGAGCCTGATGTGTTGCCTGATATCCTGGCTGGCAACCCTGCCCATGGCAGTAGGAGTGGAACTAGATGATCTTTGAGGTCCCATCCAACCCAGGCCATTCCATGATTCTATGATTTTTTTTAGGATCAGGGTGTAAACAGAAGTGAGATAGAATAATCTATTTTCATTTCCAAAACAGTGGTAATCTGGCAGAGAGAATGGAAAATAATGGAAATGGAAAGTACATTTGGGTTGCAACTGAATAACTCATTATCTGTATCACTGGCAAATAAACCCAATGTTATGGGCCTGTTTTGTTTTGTTTTTTAATATATGTTTAAAACTGACAACATCCCCTGAAAGATCAAAACTATAACTGTATTCAGTTCCAGGTGCAATTCAGCAACAGAGACTCTGCATAACACAGACATGTTTAACTGCAGAGTCACTGAGACACAAGTGCTTTGCTGACCTGGAGCCATAATCAGGCCAGAGTCAGCAACCCATCAGCTTCACATCCTGCGGCATTTCCACAGTTCAGAGGAATCCCCTTTCCCCAGCTACAATGCTAACCTGTGCCGGCAGAAACATGAATCCTGCAGGGACTTTACATAAAGGTGTTTCCATAGAGGATTTGTTTCCTCCTTTGTGCTGATTGTGCATGAAGCTGATGTTACAATTCTTCTGTTCTCCTGCTTCTTTGTGATCTTTGTAATTTGTGAATAAATTATTTGTTTTATGGAGCCGTAGCATATGGCAGCAAAGAATCACTCTGTTATGAGGAATTCCCAGGTGACAAAAAGAAAATGAATAACTAATTCATTGAACTTCATTGCTGCTATGAAGGCGTGAGCACCCTCTCATTTCCAGTCCTAGGTCTTACATAAGTGTTCATCCTCCTGCAAGGAAAAGAGTGGGGGAAAGAACTGTCAGGTCCAGGGTAAAATATGAATCAAAAGATTGGCTGAGAGCAGTCATTGCAGAGGTCACTTCTGTTGTCCTTATTCTTTGTAGCAAGAACAGTATTATTTCAGTTATAAAAAGGGAAATTGAATAAATCATATAAGCAACTGAACATCCATCTCTAGATTGTTTTATCCTATTGTGCTATGAATAGTAGATACAGCTACAAAGTTCACATAGTTGTGGGCAGCGATTTGGAAGTGGACTTCAGTTTTCACACTGTAGAAAGGGGGCCAAACTCAGACACAAATCCTAATCTGGATCAAGCAGCTTCAAAGTCTTCCTTCAGTTCAACTTGGACTCATCTTTTATTAGATCTAAACAAGCAAAGGTTTTTATATTTCCAAACATTCACCAGGGATATATTTTGCATATAGACCAGGCTTGCATTTACCTGTTAAGCAATGGAGCAGAATTCATTAGCTGCATCATATCAGTTTTCTGTTGTCAGGTGGCTGACAGGATGCTGATACAGGTGGATAACAGTCATACAGGACGATGAAATATGTTCCTGAGGATACTTTACTTGTAAACAGCCATTTTTTAAAAAAGCCATTCCTGTACACAAGCATTTGATACCAAAAATGTGGTACATAGTATCAAAGCATTCCCTGACCTTAAATTTATATAGAAAAGCACAAAGGAGACATCAAATGCTGGGAAATCCCGATGAAGTCTTGTATTACCAGACTTTATTTTTGGTTTAGTTATCAGATCTCTTCTTGTGAGCCTCACAGTGCTGCCCTAAGAGCATCATAAAGGACAGACATATAGTGGTGACTGTCTCTATACACCTAGTAAACTGTTGTCAAGTGATGGAAAAGTACTGCATGAAAAGCATTGTTTCCATTCAGCATTAATACTTTAATACATGGGATATGAATACGAAAACAGAAACTTCTCCTTAGGAGCTCCTCATTCCCTCACCTGAATCACCTCTGATCATGTGATAACATTTTCTCTAGCAATCAGCTGTGATATCATAAGAAGCCAAGAGAGAATCAGCACCAAGAAAATTTTCTCAAATTAAAAAAAAAGCTTATTAATGCAAATAGCATTGAGTAATGAACATGAGAAAGAAATAGGTTCCAGTTGATAATCTGCACCTTTGATCCTAAACAATTCCCATGGTCTCTTAATATTGGTTGTGTCTTTTCCTGATTAGCAGAAAGGAAGTAATTGCCCTTGTTGAAATGGGATCATAGAAACGGTGATCTTGGGAATTCACATTCATAAATCTAAGTATTGGCATACAAATATTTAAAAGCAAATATTTACTTAATCAGCATTGTAAACTCTCTCCATCACATAAATATCAATCTTCCATAATGTTAACTCAACAGATGTACAGAGAAATCCCCATCTAGCAGTCCTTCCCAGCAGGTAAGTTTATTAAATGAGCAAAGTGAAATATATTCACTTTAAAATGGCACTGTGAATTTCATTTTGGCCCAAACCTAGGGTTGGAGATCTAACATTCAGTCCATGCTCATCCCCTTTAAATTGTTTCTGACTTCCAGCTCAGTCTCACTTCCCTATCTGCAGAACAGTCAACTTTCCTATTTCCACATTCCATAATGGGTTTTATTCCCTGGCCAACAGTGTCTGGCCCTTCAGTACTGCAGCCACAGAGTTGTGTGCCAGAGCAGCTATGTTTAATCCAAGGGGAAGTAGTTTCTCCTCTGATAACACCTTTTTCTGAAAAAATAAATATTCAGACTTCTGAGAAGGGCAGGAGCATGAGAAAAAGAACCAGGGAAATATGCTTCCTTTGCCCAGAGCTGAGAACCCACTCTAGTTCTGGAGGGGAAGATTAATTTCTTTAAAGGACAGTATTAACAAGGAACTCCAGAACAGCCACTCAGCCGGCAGAGATTTTATCAAATCAGGGCCTCAGTCCATCAGCAGGAATTTCTGCAGAATGAGAATAAGCATCTTGAGAGCTGTCTCACTTTAGGATGCCAGCGTAGCTCTGATGTTCACCAGGTCTTAGAAACTTGTTGACTGCAAATGTTTTGAACTCTGAGATCAAAAGCATGAGCAGAGTCTTCCTAACCCTAACTTCTACTCCAATACTACACTGAAGTTGATATTTTGATTTAGGATGCAAAAATAACTGGTTTGGGTTAAGAATTTTTCCTAGGACTTTGCATGAAATTAAGGTTTATACACAGACATTCATTTTTATGAAACTCCTCTTGGTGCTTTATAATTTAAATTGACATATTCCTTAGGGCTCTTAGTGGTAAAAATTAATTAACTGACAGAACTGCAATGGTTGTAGTGTTGGAATCCTGATGGTCCAAGAATATGA